TATTGGAAATGTCATTTACTGTTACGAAATAATTTAGAAAGTGTAACGTCAAATTTACTTGTATTAAACTACATCTGTTCAATTTTTTTTTTTTTGAAGCTTCTAATTTATTTTTGAATTACAAAATAGTGAGGACTCTCCTTAAAGAGAAGGACTTAGTGTCCTTCTAATAACTACGACGCTAAGCACATAAGATATAAACAGCTAACTCAGGATGTATAGAAATACAAATGCGATGTAATGCGATCTTTTGTTGACAACGTTTCGCCCACACAGTGAACTATATCAAATCACAAACAGATCTATACACAAATAACCCGCACATAGAAGAGAGAAGCTTACGACGACGTTTCGGTCCGACTTGGACCATTTACAAAGTCACAAACAGATCTACCGGGGAAGCGAGGACGTGAGTATACTGAGAGACTAATTACCTGAAACTCCGTCTCATCTTTACCCTTCTTCTTGGTATTGGACTGATGAAGCCACTATGTGGCGGAACGTTTCCACCAAAAATACCCAAGTGTTGCACATGTTTCTAATACATAAAATTCTCGGTTCTCTGAACCATACATCTGCACAAGGAGCGTGGTGACGTATAGAGTCAGATGAGTTACGTTGTCAGTAAAGCACCTTATTATACAACATTTACATCATTATACATCGTGTCGGTATTTCATACAATATATTTCCCGGGTAAGTCACGGTGTTCATCAGTGAAGAACATTCTGATATCGTATTTCAGTTCCGAGATTCGCTTTTGTACTTTTCCTGCGCGTCACTAAGCTCTTGTGTGGAGCAGTGATCACTCTTGATCAGACTCCCTTTTCTCACGCAAGATACTGAATAATACACAAATAACCCACACAAGAGAAAAAAAACTTATGACGACGTTTCGGTCCGACTAGGATCATTAGCTACATAGTAACTACACACACACACAGTGTGTGACTACTCAGAGGTCCAAGTTGGACCGAAACGTCGTAAGTGTTCTCCTTCGTGAGGGTTATTTGTGTATTGTTCCAGTCAAGGTATCGTGCGGCTTTATTCTTCAATATAAGTAACAATCCTTCGACTAAGATCTCTGTCATTTGCTTTACTAACCACTCTTATTATAGACCTCATGACACTCCTCTAGTTGGGAATAAGTGGTATAAAATACCGACACAATGAAAATATAAACACGTACTGCATGTGTTTATATTTCCACACTCCTCTAGTCTTCAATTTATCGCAAAGCTGAATTTTGCAGTTAAGATATTTTATACACATCTCCCATCGTCGCAATTCAACTATTAATTTTTAGTGGTAACCTGGCAGGCCAGTTCACCTTGATCAGAATACCAGCCTAATTGTACAAGAAGCAGCTTAATTGATAATTAAACTGTCACAGCGGCAGCCAATGAAAGAAGAAGGCAGTTGAAATTTTGAGATCCTGGAGAAACAAGCTGGTATTCTAATAGTCAAGATGGATTTTTTTTTTTTGAGTGCGGCCAAGCGTACTTTAATTGCCGGGAATCTTAAATAATTCCCGGTGTAATCATTGGCGGGAATTAGTTGGAATTTGTTTGCTTTTCGCTACTTTTACGTTTCGCTCGTGTGGTAAGATGATCATGCACCCCAGGAAGCGCATACACGCACGCCGGGGAGTGCGAACACCCTAGTTTGAAAGGTAATGTATTGGGATAGGTTCTTTAGCTGAGAGAATCAACCTCTGAGAGAACCAACCCCTGAGAGAACCAACCCCTGAGAGAACCATCCCCTGAGAGAACCAACCCCTGAAAGAACCAACTGCTAAGAGATCCGATACCTAAGAGAACCAACCCTTAAGAGAACAACCCCTAAGAGAACAACCCCTGAGAGAACCACCCCTCAGAAAACCAGACGCTAAGAGAACCGACCTCTGAGAAAAAAAAACCTGATAGAGCCAACCGCTAAGAAAACCGACGCGTGAGAGAACCAACCCCTGAGAGAACCAACCGCTAAGAGAACCGATCCCTGAGAGAACCAACCCCTGACAAAACCAACCCCTGAGAGAACCAATCGCTAAGAGAACCAACACCTGAGAGATCCAGCCCCTGAGAGAGAACCAACCCCTGCGAGAGAACCAAACCCTGAGAGAACCAATCCCTGAGAGAACCAACCCCTGAGAGAGAACCATCCCCTGACAGAACCAACCCCCGAGATAACCAACCGCTCAGAGAACCAACGTCTGAGAGATCCAGCCCCTGAGAGAGAGCCAATACCTAAAAGAGAATCAACTCCTGAGAAAACACCAACCCTTGAGAGAACCAACCGCTAAGAAAACCAACCCCTTAGAGAACCAACCCCTGAGAGAGAGCCATTACCTAAAAGATAATCAACTCCTTAGAATGAACCAATCCCTGAGAGAACCAGCCTCTGAGAAAACCAGCCTCAGAGAGAGAACCAACCCCTGAGAGAAAAAACCTTGAGAGAGAACCAACCCATGAGAGAACCAACCCTTGAGAAAACAAACCCCTGAGAGAGAATCAACCCTGTAAGAGAACCAACCCCTGAGAACCGACCTCAGAGAGAACCAACCCTTGAGAGAACCAACTCCTGAGAAAGAAGCAATCCCTGGGAGAACCAACCCTTGAGAGAACCAATCTCTGAGGCAGAACCAACCTCTGAGAGAACCAACCCCTGAGAGAACCAACCCCTGAGAGAACCAAACCTGAGAGAACCAACCCCTGAGAGAACCAACCCCTGAGAGAACCAACCTCTAAGAGAACCAACCCCTGAGAGAGAACCAACCCCTAAGAGAGAACCAACGCCTGTGAGACAACCAACCCCTGAGGAACCGTCCCTTGAGAAACAACCCCTGTGAGAGAACCAACCCCTGCGAAAGAACCAATCCCAGTGAGAGAATCAACCACTGAGAGAACCAGCCCCTGTGACAGAACCAACCCATGAAACAACTAAACCCTGAGAGAAACGACGCCCGAGAGAGATCTTGCCCCTGAGAGAACCAACTGCTAAGAGAACCAACCGCTAAGAGAACATCCCCTGAAAGAGAACCAACCCCTGAGAGAGAACCAACCCCTGAGAGAGAACCAACCCCTGAGAGAGAACCAACCCCTAAGAGAGATTCAATCCCTGAGAGAGAACCGACCAACCCTTGAGAGAGATCCACCCCCTGAGAGAACCAACCGCTAAGAGAACCTACCCCTGAAAGTGAACTTACTCCTTCCAAAAGGAACTGACTTTCCCCTGGAACCGACTCACTTCAAGAACACTCCATTGATTTTTCAAAGTGAGCTTAAAATCCCGGTTCTTATTTTATTCTGAGTCTCATAACTAAGACTTAAATGGCAAGACTTGCCAACCACCAATGGCTATTTTTCTCTTAATTTTGATATTTATGTCCGATATTTTAACCAGAAGAAAATTTGCTCTAAAAGGCATTAGGAAAATTATTAATATTATTACTATTATTATTATTATTATTATTTCGTATAGTTATATATATATATATATATATATATATATATATATATATATATATATATATATATATATATATATATATATAATATATATATATATATATATATATATTATATATATATATATATATATATATATATATATATTATATATATATATATATATAAGCATACATATAATCAATCGAGGACTAATTATGCAGGGTTGATAATGTGCCTGGAGAATGGACAGGTATTAGTGTTGATCCGAGGAAAGGACGGGCAGTTCCATACCAAGAGATCAAGAACCCTTTACCTGTATCAAGGCACCCTGCTTGAAGGAAGCAATCACCTTTATGTTATAATATGAGAAAGTACTGACTCAGTTGATCAACACGATATATATTACTGAGGAAGGTAGACTGTAGGTACGCCAGGAAAGCCATTCTTGTCATAGGTGACGACGCTAGCACTGATGTAGGTATCTAGATGCCCTCTGGCACCGAGGCTGTAGCAAAGAAGTTGAGTTGAACTCACAGACGCTGCCAGGGACACTGTAGCCACACTCTCCTCTGCCCTCAGCGGTAAAGATGCTACAGAATTCAGAAAAAATTCTTGATTGTAACAGCTTCGTTTCGCTCTGTGTGGAGCTTTATTAAGTCATGTTTCGCTCTGTGTGGAGCTTTATTAAGTCATGTTTCGCTCTGTGTGGAGCTTTATTATGTTTCGTTCTGTGTGGAGCTTAATCAAGTTTCGTAATGTGGAGCTTAATCATGTTTAGTTCTGTGTTGAGGTTTATCAAGTCATGTTTCGTTCTGTGGGGAGCTTTATCATGTTTCGCTCCGCGAGGAGCTTTATCAAGTCTTTTTTCACTCTGTGTGGAGCTTTATCAAGTCACGTTTCGTTCTATATGGAGCTTTATCAAGTCACGTTTCACTCTGTGTGGAGCTTTATCAACTCACTTGACAAAACTCTACACATAGTGAAACTCTGTTTAGGTAAGAACTTGTTACGCATTTTTTTTTTCTTCAGAAAGGACACCAATTTTTCCATCCTCGAATCATGCACTTAGATAATACACATTAATATTTAATATATGCAGAAATAGACTGTCTTCACTAGCTAGCCTGGGTATGAACGTCCACCGGTCTGGAAAAGGACACAAATCAAGTATAATCCGAGTCTTTATTGACAACTCTTTGCCCACCCGTTGCCTTATCCAGTCACAAAACAGGATCTGTTAATGACATGATATATTCCCTGAGTGCCTTATGCACTGGTCTGGAGTTTATGGACTCACTTGCCTTGGCTTCAAACCCCACCCTTTCCGTGGTTCGTTGTTAATAAAGGCTGGCATTACTCTGCATTTCTGTCTCTTTTTCCATCGTGTCGTTATTTAATGTCCTCCCTGCTGTTTATCATTCACATGATCTTTAATGTAATCCCATGTACACTACAGTATGAGGGGGGCCGTAAATGTTACAGTTTCTGTGACTTCTGTGGCTGTAAAACATACTAGAGTACTGAGTTCGATGTCTGAGAGGCGGCACCTACCTTCGTCGGGAACGTAGAGGTTGAGGTAGAGACAGTCTTCACTTTGGTGTTTAAGTGCTGGCAGGTAGCGCCGAAGAGATTGCAGACGCCCACGAGACATCCGCGTCAGCGCTGCCGTCTCGTTGGAAATATCAGGGAGTCTCTGAGGGCAGGCGGGTCCGAACTGGGCAGCTTCATGAACCCCAACCCACTGGGATAAGGTTCGGGTGGGGCTGAACCTGTTAGCACCCACTGGGGGAGTGGCGTATGGCACGCCTAGGTAAGTGGCTACCCGCACCCCGTACCCGCTGACCTGGCGGAAGAATCCGCGAAGCTGTCCATACTTCGTGACGATAGTTGGGGTCTTCTTCAGTGACTCCGAATGGGACAAACCCACGAGTATGAGCAAGACGCAGGCCGCCCACGCCCACGCCCACACCCGGGTCCTCATGGTGTTCCTAGGGGAACCACAGCAACCATACACCTACAGACAGGTGGGTGTAACAGGGGCGTCCTGACTAAACCTGTGCTCATACAATATTAACATCATACTCACTGTCTCGTCCACATTGCACTTCAACACCCAATCTTACAGCTTATTTCACCATTTTCAATTACACTAAGCCATGGAGACCCGTGGTAAGTTAGGAGACACAAGATATCGATGATACCACAGGATAGATAACACTGGCGACTCGGTGGATAACACAAAAGGTCGTCCAGAGAGTGAAACAGAGGGAGAAGCAAGGAGAGCAGGACGGAAGGTCC